TCCCCCCTCTCACCATCCTCCCCCCTCTCACCATCCTCCCCCCTCTCACCATCCTCCACCCTCTCATCCTCCTCCCCTCTCTCACCTTCTCCGCGTGGCCAAGCCCCTTCTTCTCCATGAGGTGCTTCACAAGCAGGTCCGCCACTTTCCTTCCGCGCATGAACAGCGGAATGCCCTGGAGAGTGGGAAAGGTAAGGGTGCAAGAGGAAGCGGAAGAGAAGGAATAAAATTTGGATTTTCAGGGGAGATATAGTCTAAGTTTTCTCGAAATTACAGGGGAATGCGTCGAGGGGGGGATGAGGTGAATTCGGGAGTGGGGGGATGGGAAGGAAGAAACAGCATGACGAGAAGCGGAGGGGTGGAGAGGAGGAGACGGGAATGTAAAACGGTCAAGAGGTTAGCAGGCAGAAAGGCAGAGAGGCGGAGAGGCGGAGAGGTGGAGAGGCGGAGAGGCGAAGGGACGAAGAGGCGGAGGGGCACTTGACTGACATTGAAGCGAACGGGCTCGTCCTGGTTGCCTGAGAAGGAGCCGCCATCGCAGTAGATGAAATAGACGGCGTTCCAGTTGTAGAAATCTGTAAGGGACAGGGGACAGGGGAGAGGGGAGAGGGGACAGGGGACAGGGGACAGGGGGAAGGGTGGATGCAAGGCATGTCAGCAAAGCAGGCGAAGAGAGCTGGCGGTACAGTTGAAGCTGAGCATGCCGTTCTGCGCATCAAGTGTGCGGTGCAGTGCGGCGCGGTTCAGTACGGTGCGGTGCAGTGCGGTGCAGTGCGGTGCAGTGCAGTTGAGCGGTCTTGCTGCCGCTGAGCATGCCCTGCATGCTGCCGTTCTGCTTATCCAGCATATCCGCTATTGAGCGCGCGTGCTTCGTCGACCCCAGGTGCATGCGCGCCCTGTACGCGCAGGCGTGTGGGGACGCGCACCACGCGCCGCCCTGCAATGCCGCGCGCGGAAATCGGGAGGGGGAAGGGGACAGGAAAAGGGAAAGGAGGGGGAATGGAAGGTGAGCAACGGGAGCGGAGAGTGAACAGCAGAGGGATGGAGGCAAATCGAAGGGTCCGAGTGCGGTTACAACTGAAGGACTCCTTCAAAATTCGTTTTGGGAAGGTAGACGGAGAATCGTTCGTTAGAGTCACACCTCGAAGAACAACACCCAGTTGTTCTGTCCCGAGCCGTAGCCCTTCCGATAGTAGAACCCAGGGGCCGATCCGTCCAAGCACACTGCGCCCTCCGCGCGCCCTTCTTCCGCCAGAATCAGCTGCAGCGGCGGAATTCCCGCCTCCGCCATTGTGGAAGTATGATGGGATTCTTTCACTAGCTCCGCCGCGCTCCTCCGCGGAAAGTCTCCGCTTCCGCCAACAGCCAGCTTGCGGGGTTGCGCCGAATTCCCGCGCAATCCGCGCGCGCTGCCAGCTGCCGCTGCGACGAGGAGAAGAACAACCAGAACCGTCGCTGGCGGCGCAACCGGCGGGAAGCCCCAGCGCGACATGACGACGACGGGCGCGCGGAATGCGCTACCGATGGCGGCGGCGGAGAAGGCGCAGTTGACGGCTCGGGGGGGCGATGGCTAGCGGCGAAAACAGGTGACTCAGCGCGCTGCGCGGAAAGGAGGCGTTTCCACCTGGAAAGCGCTACTTGCCTACGGAGAATTTCCGAGCGGGTGAGCGGAGAATTTTCGAGCGGGTGAGCGGAGAATTTCCCTTAATCGAGCGGGTGAGCGGAGAATTTCTCTTGGCGGAAAATCCCTTGGTACTTATTTCTGATATTATACTTGTAATGGTCTCAACTAAGCAGGATGAGGAGCAGCTGCTGCGGCGGAAGGCGCATCACGATAGGCGCGCGCATTGATCGCATGGTGGCAGGCGCAGGCGGCGCGATACTGTACGTATCGGCGCTAAACCCTGCGAAAGAGCATGATCGCCTGAGAGGCGCGAGCACTGATTCGCCGCCTGATACGTATCGTGACGGAGCTTTCCAGGAAGGGGGACATACTACGCAGCGTGCTATCGACATACTGGGATCAGGTCGGTCCGAGTCGGCCGCAGAAACCAAGTGAAAGGCACCTGCAAACCGACTTTCAGTCGCCGCCGATGGCTGCGCTTCGATCCATGATCTCCCCCCCTCCCCGTCCCCCTTCCCCCTCGTCCCTCTTCCCCATCCCCGTATCCTTGGAGCAAATAGTTCCCGGTTTCCCCCTGCTCTTTCTCATCCTCGCTCTCTCCTCCACCGTCCATCTCTCAATCCCACTGTATTTGGGAAATGACATGCGACGCGGATGGCGGTGGCAGGAGGTACAGTACAGATCTCCATCGAGAGCTCCTATCCATGATGCCGAAGGCTGTCGATCGTCACGTGTCTTCGTTTGTCGGGCACGCAGCGACTGCTAGGCCCAGTTCTGTTGCCGCACTACTGGTGCGGACCCCTCCGCACAGCACTAGATGATGCTTCGAGAGGGCCTCTATCGGTGATCCTCGAAGATTCCATTCCAAGGGTGCATTCCTTGAATCAGGCTCGGGACCTTGAACTCTCTCCCGAACCTGGCCAGTGCTGTGCTGTGCTGTGCGGCCTACCAAGCGCAAAAGAACGCTGAACCAGTAGTGCCGTGCTGTCCGCTCATCCCAGGCAAACTGGGTGCGAGACTGGTGCGAGACTGGTTCCCGCTCGAATCGCGGACCCAGGGACAGCACAAGTATTTCGGGACAAATGCCCCGAAAAAAACACGTTACGGGGGAGGGCAATGTCCCATTGGTGACGAGAATAATTTTTGGTACGGGCTGGCTGTATTGCTCTAAAACCACCAATTATCGTCGCGGAAAACATTTTAACGGTCAGCTCAGCAAAACTTTTACGAAGCTCCTCTAGTTGCGCGGAGGGTGGCAGGAAGCTGAATCGCACCAACGTGGGGGGTTCTCGGCTTCGCGGAAGCACCCGGCCGCACCAGAGGTGCTGTGCTGGCTGTCCGCCCTCCATTTGCCGATGGGCAACAGAACTGGGCCCTAGTGGAGAACTAAAGGCTGTTTCAACAGCAGACTATACTGTAGCTCTGAGGGCGCGTTTCTATCCCGTGTCAGACACAAGATTTGACACGAAGTTGAGGTTCGGAAGACCCGAAGTGGCTCGTTTTTGGGGCGATTGGAAGTTCGGGAGAGACAAAATTGGAGACTAGGGCCGCATGACTTGATGTCTGACACGAGATAAAAACGCGCCCTGAGGTATCTGGCAACGAAACCAGCAGCAGCATTTTGCAATCGGGAAGTGATGTTGGTTTGGACAGGCCTCATCCTCACCACAACAAAGAGTCGGTGGGAAATATTTGGTTGCGAAGCGAACGCGCAAACAGGCCAACGCTTCCCAGCCACAAACACAAGGTATTTTTATTTTCTCCAGGTCACGGAAATTCGCTTCTCTGCAGCAGAAACGGTTGAGTGGGATGTTATGCACTGTGAAGCGGTTTTCCTGGTCTCGCTTCCACAGCTTCGTGGTTGTACAATCTTTCGTTGTATCAATATTATGTTATCCCGCCCGAAGGCTTTCGATTTCCGAACAGTATGATTTCCTAACACATCAGTCAGGTGGTTAGACACAAGCACCAGGTTCTGGCGCAGGTGCTGGAGTACAGTACAGTCGTTGCTCAAACGTACCGTGTGCGTTGATTGTACTTCAGAAAACAAAACTTCGTCAGTAATAACGACATCCACAGCTGCACGAGCACCCAGACAGACCAAGGAATGCCCACAAATTTCTAGATATCATGACAGTGTAACTTCAATATATATATGTAAACCCAATGAAAATCGGCGAACGCAGGCAAAGTTCTGTTCACGCTTCACTACACTAGTGCTCCAAAACGTAGCATAAACAAACGAGACTCAACTGTACTAGCGAACCGTCAGGTACAGATCAAAAAAAAAATGGACAACTGTACATATCCCGTGAATGCGGTACACTGTGCAACGGCGTCAACAGTCGGTGCGACAGCCTCAAATGTCGGTGAAATGCATCGCGCGCACGCTTCGGGTGGGCGAAATTTCGCGCGCAAATTCCAATCCAACACGGTGTTCGATAGCCAGCCAGCCAGTAATGGGCGACAATGGGTCAAACTAGGGTCAACGACTGTTGACTCTAGCTGAAAGTTTCGCGCAACACCTGCGCCTATGGGGAGCTGGCGCAATGTTTGGGGGTGGCGGAAAGGAAACAACCTGGGACCGTTTACGACTTCATCACCTAGTACCTACTATGAAACTATGCATTTATGTAATGCTATTCTTGCTATTAAAAAATACTTCATCGGGTAGCACGTAAAGCACGATCCCACATAATGTCATTTGTCAGTAGGTAACCATTGTCGCACATAATCTACCCCGAAGAGTACTAGGTAAACCCGTGCCTCCAGTTCCCATAACAATGAATATCATCATCACCCGTATAGGTTGGTCTTGGATTTCATAGATTCTCTGCTATCCGACCCCATTAGTGTTCATACAAGATCTGTTAATGCGTGTGGATGAGTGTATCCAGGCACCAACGATTTAGTACAGAAAGCATGTCAGAGAACAAATTTGAATCAAACCATAACAGAAGAAATGTGGCAAGTGGGAATTTGTCTAGGTGATGAAAGTTATGCTACACAAGGTGGAGCCCTATTGAGACTTTCGCTCGATTATTTGGGGCTTATTTGGAGTTAGCACGGCCGATGGTGAGAGCAGATGGGCTATGATACACTTGAGAGCAGAAACTTTCTCACGGCTGCACTTCATTCCTTCATGGAGCAGGAATTGCATGGATATCCTCCTTCAATGAGATCAATCTTGTCGCTGTTGTCTGGGTGCATCCAACGGCTCACAGCTTCGTACATTGGCTGTAGATGGATGGATCGGAAGAAGAAAATGGAGAAAAACCACACAGACTCATACACACACATGAAAGGTCATTTTGGTTGGAATGCCACCACGGAGCATAGATATTAAACTGATAGAGACAGCATTGTTGGGCAGCTGTTAGCACGACTCTACTGCTACACACAGCCCGGATGGCACGTACCACTCCTTTTGCCGTGCGCACAGTCCACGGCATATCGGAGTGTATCGAGCCGTGCTGGAAGCAGGAGAAGAGGAAGACGGCGTTCGCAGGTGTGGAGTGCGGTGGAGATGGTGACGAAGAGGTGGATGGCGGTGGGTCGGTGTGGAGGAGAGGAGCTGCTGCTGAGGCCACTGCCTTGCGGTAGTCTGAAACCCAGGAGTGGTAAGCAAGGTGGGGCAAGGTGGGGAAAAAGGGGCGAGGCAAGGCAAGACAAGTCGAGGTGGGTGGGGAAAGAAATGTAGGGAAACGAGGGCGTTGCAAAGTAAGGCAAGATGGGTAGGACAAGCGAAGGCAAGGAAAGAAAGGTAAGGGTCGGGCAAGAGGAGGGCAGGGAAACGTAAGGCAGGGAAGATAAGGCAAGGAGATTAGAGTTGTCCAAGTGCAAGAAGAAGCCCTGTTTAGAACTTTTGAGGTTTTAGACTTAGTACCATCCGTGAACGCACTCACGCACTCACACTCACGCACCCTCGATAACTCGGTTCTCGGCGGCAGTGCACTTATTGAGATGGTTGAGGCAGTCAGGTGGGCCCGTTAATCCCGTATCCAACACCTGTGGTGCTGCAATGGCCCTCATCTGCAATGAGAGGGCAAGCGAGAGAAATGAAATAAGAAAATGAGAGACAAAGAAAATGAGGGAAAGCGGTGCTGTGATGGCCCTCATCTGCAGGTCAAAGCACGAACGCGAGTGCAAGCGAGAGCAAGGAAATGGTCAAGAAATGAGAGAGGGAAGGCTGAACACGAGAGAGAAAGGAGTCAAGAGGTGAGAGAGGATTGAGTCAATAATATTATGGATAATAATCATAATCATCATCATTATAATACTACCAACACCAACTATTATTGCTGCGATTATTCCCAACGGCACGAGTACCATGCTTGCCAGCTTACTGCAACTTTTTCGTAGTTGCTGTTGATGAGGAAGAGAGGCGTGGAGACGTGCTGCAGAATATGGCTGGCCATGAAGCACTGGTGGGGGTGAGAGGAGGGTGGAGGGCGGAGAGAGGGGTGAAGCGGAGTGAAGAGGGGTGAAGGGTGCAGATCACGAAGAAAGGTGGGGGAAGGAAGAGGGAAGGGGTGAGGATGAGATGGGGCTGCATTTGGGGAGTGCGGGTGGGGGGGATGAGGTCAGCGATATGGAACATGACATATCCAGCCTGCTACTGACGGCTCACAGCCATGGAGAGGAAGAGAGGATGCAGTGAGATGGCACCGCATGGCATGGCACGGCATGGTGGACCGTGGAAGACAGCAGCGGCGCACCTCATGGTGCTTCTCTGGCTCTCGCTCCTTCACACACGCTTCTGGGAGGCTGGCGGTCAGATTCTGGACACAAGAATGGAGAGAACAGGGAGGAGGAAAAGGCAGGAGGAAAAGGGAGGGGAAGAGGGGAAATCAGGGAAATATGAGTGGGAGGGTAAAGTGAGAGGGATGGCAGGTATGGTTAGGTGAGGCCTTGCACGTCCTGACTTGCTCACATGCTTGCCCTGACTTGCTCACATGCATGTCACGACTTGCTCACATGCTTGCCCTGACTTGCTCACATGCATGTCACGACTTGCTCACATGCATGTCCTGACTTGCTCACATGCATGTCCTGACTTGCTCACATGCATGTCCCGACTTGCTCACATGCATGTCCTGACTTGCTCACATGCATGTCCCAACTTGCTCACATGCCTGTCCCAACTTGCTCACATGCATGTCGTGCACTTCAGCAAAAAAGTTGGCAACCCTCCGAGTGTTGTTCACATCTGGACTGCACATGGGGAGGGAGGACAGGACAGAGAGAGACACACACATGCACAGACATGAAAGAAGGGAGAGAGGGAGAGAGGGAGGGAGGGAGGGAGGGAGGGAGGGAGGGAGAGAGGGAGGGGTAGAGGCTACAAGGGGCCGAAGGGGCCCTTACATAGGCGAGCACTAGGGCAGAGGGCAGGGCAGACGGTGGGGCAGACGGCAGGGCAGAGGGTTATCAGTAGGACAAAGTTCTCTCGCTCTCTCGCTTGTCAACACAAATCAATGTGCTCTTACAAGTCAGCCCCATTCGACATGAATCACAATGTAACAAACGCATTTGAAGACGAATGAAGCCTGGTGAAGAGGAATGAAGAGGAATGGAGTGGAGTGAAGAGGGGTGAAGAGGGGTCTTACATGTCGAGGAACATGGAGGCATCCGCAAGGCAGCGGACGTGCATGGAGGGAGAGGCGGCTGTGAGAGTGTCCCTCACTCGATCGCAGTGCAGCAGCGCCGCCACCCCTCCTGCTGAAAAACAACCACCTGCCCAGATGAAGGGAAAGGGAAAAGGCGAAAGAAAATCGCAGCCAAGGGGGGGAGGGAAAGTGGAAGACATGGTCAGCTTTGACAAGGGAGTTTCCAGCAAGACTTTAGGTTGAGAAATGAGGCTGGATCCTCAGGTGATAAGCTGAAGGATGGCTTTCCTGAGCACGTCAGTTTTCCTGCTCCTTCACTCCCTGTCCGCCTGCTCTCACGCTGCTCCCTCACACACACCCCCCCCTCGCATCCTTCCCCCCTCACCCTGTCTGCGTGGCCAAGCCCCTTCTTCTCCACTAGGAGCTTCACCAGCAGGTCCGCCACTCGCCTTCCGCGCAGGTACAGCGGAATGCCCTGGGGGAGGGGGAAGGCGGGCTCGGGGAAGGGAGCCAGGGGATCGGGGAAGGTACATAAAAAGGAACGGGATTTTGAAATCGAGTCACAGATTTTCCAAAGGTACAGGGGAATGCGGTCAGGAAAGGTGGATGACGGAGGGGGAGAATATGGCGGAAGAAACTGCAGGGCGAGAAGCAGAGAGGTGGAGAGGCGGAGGCGCCGGGAACATGCAAAGGCGGAGAGGCAGACAGGTAGCGAGGGCGAGGCAGAGAGGTAGCGAGGGAGAGGCAGAGAGGTAGCGAGGGAGAGGCAGAGAGGTAGCGAGGGAGAGGCAGAGAGGTAGCGAGGGAGAGGCAGAGAGGTAGCGAGGGAGAGGCAGAGAGGTAGCGAGGGAGAGGCAGAGAGGTAGCGAGGGAGAGGCAGAGAGGTAGCGAGGGAGAGGCAGAGAGGTAGCGAGGGAGAGGCAGAGAGGCGGATAGGTGGAGATGTGGAGAGGAATAAGGGCGGATAGGCGGAGGGGAAGGTGACTGACATTGAAGTAAATCGGCTCGTCCTGGTCGCCTGCGAATGAGCCGCCATCGCAGTAGATGAAATAGACGGCGTTCCAGTTGTAGAAGCCTGGTGGATGCACGGGGATAGCACAAGCACGTGGACAGGGGAGGATTCCGGGTGTGCGTGGTGGGAGCAGAGGTGACTGCAGCCTGGTGGCGACTGCAGCCTGGTGGCGACTACCGTGTCCAGCATAATAGGGGAAGAGCAGAGCAGGTGGAAAGAGCGCGCGACGGAAGGTAAACAGGCGTATCAACGGCAGTGCTGTGCTGCCACGCTGCGCCTTCAATCCAGCGGTGGCAGCAGCAGTGGTGGTGGCAGGGAAGTCAGTGATGGGTTTCACCTGCTCTGCAGAAGAGGGTCTCGATTCACCTGTTCGTTTCTTCAGCTGTCCGTCAGTTCAGCTGTCCGTCAGTTCAGCTGTCCGTCAGTTCAGCTGTCCGTCGATTCAGCTGTCCGTCAATTCAGCTGTCCGTCCGTCCGTCAAGTCACCTGGCCTCACCAGGGTTGACGGTGCGGTTGGCACTGAGCATGACATTCATGCTGCCGTTCAGCGCAAGTATGTAGTGCGGTGCAGTGCCATACAGTGCGGTGCAGTGCGGTGTAGCAACTACAAACGATCCTCACCAGGGTTGACGGTGCGGTTGGCACTGAGCATGCCGTTCATGCTGCCGTTCTCCCTCTCCACCATCTCCGCCGCTGAGCGCGCGTGGTCCGTGGACCCCAGGTGCGTGCGCGCCCGCCACGCGCAGGCGTGGGGGGACGCGCACCACGCGCCGCCCTGCAGTGCAGGAAGGGGGAGGGGGAAGGGGAAGGGGAAGCGGAGGGGGAGGGGGAAGGGGAGGGGGAGGGGGAAGGAGCGGAGGGGGAGGGGGAAGGAGAAGAGAGAATGGAAGCTAAACAACGGAGGGAAAGAGCAAACAGTCGGGGTAAACAAGCAGGGGATGGAGGGAAAACAAGGGAGGCGGAAGGTATGTGTGCAGTCGTAACAAATGAAGAAAAATGGGAAGCACCGGCGAAGTCATTCGTTTTAGTCACACCTCGTAATACAGCACCCAGTTGTTCTGTCCCGAGCCGTAGCCCTTCCGATAGTAGAACCCAGGGGCCGATCCGTCCAAGCACACTGCGCCCTCCGCGCGCCCTTCTTCCGCCAGAATCAGCTGCAGCGGCGGAATCTGCGCCTCCGCCTCACCGCCACTGGCGGAAGAAGGCGCGGAATCCTTCACAACAAGCCCGTCCCCCTCCGCGGAACCACCCTTCACTAGTTCCGCCGCGGCATTACTGTTTCCGCTTCCGCCCGCGGCCAGCTTGCGGGGTTGCGCAGCATTCCCGCCTCGCACTCCGCCAGCTGCCGCTGCGATGAGCAGCAGGGCAGCGAGAACCGCCGCTGGCGGCGCAACTGGCGAGAATTCCCTGCGCGACATGACGGGACGCGGGCGGCGGAAGCGCGATTGGCGGCGGGAGGCGATGACTAGCGGCGGAAACAGACTCCGCAGCCTCAGCGGTGCGCGGAAATGCGGAGCTTCCACGAGCTACTACTACCAGCGGAAATAAGCTCCCCTGACGGCTGATGGATGCAGCAACGACTGCTGCTAGCAGGATCAGCTTCCGCCGACTCGGAAGCAGGATCAACCGCAGTAAAGCAGCTGCAGCAGCGGGAGCGGGGGGGTTATTAGTAGTACTCGGGATTTCTCCCAGCCGCACAGCGCAGTTATAAGATATGACATCGTACAGATAGGTGGTCCCGGGGCACGGATAGGCGGTCAGGGCGGTCGGGGCACGGATAGACGGTCGGGGAACGGCCCGTTCCCCGACCGCCTATCCGGGATTACTATCATCACGGGTAGGCGATCGGCGGGCACGGGCGACGGAACTCCCCAATGCAGTTCGCGGCGCGTCATCACCGAAGGCGATGATCGTAGACGCGTCAGATGCAGATACGCGCGTCGATGCCTCTTTCCTTCTCCCCTCCCCCCGTTCCCCTTCTCGACTCCCCCCTTCCCCCCAGAACCGGGTCCCACTTCCCCCCCAACTTTTCGTAAACTTTACGAGTTGACCCCCGTCTCTTTCCTCATCCCGACCCGACTCCTTCCCCTCTCACCCTCCCAGTTTCCCAAGTGGGACTGCCATGCGATGCGACCGAAGGCCGGCTACCGAGAGTTTGAAATTTGGGCATGCATGCAACGCGAGAGAAGCTGGCGTTTTTTATGCGATTCGTGCACCTGGTCTTGAGTTACGTTTTTGCATGGCATACTTTTGCATAAAGCTGCTGTACTTCGGTGGTGAAGACTGTCGTCACGTATCCTCGTTTGTCGGATGCGTAGAGGGAAACGACAGCATACTTTAGTAGGTACATTAGCTGCTACAGCCCGCAGCCCGTCCGTATCTATTAAATCTCGAACAGTGGCACAACTATGACATCCATCCGTCAGGTGGTTTGAGCCGCATGACTGTCAGGCGCAGGTGTGAACTGTACCAGGTGCTACAGCGCACTGAACTGACATTTGCTATTTATTTCACGAAACAATGGACTTCATGTGCAAATCCAAATAGAATACCTAACAGTATCTCGTGAGTCGTGATGCCCAAGAACATGTTGTGGTTGTGGAAAGTACTCGCGAGATCTGGTGGTCACAAGGCCGCTCTAGAAATTCAGGGTTCAGAGTGCGCCACCTGGCAAGGAAACTTGATTTCTCGGATTTCATGGCGATCGTACTCTAATACTCTGACTTGATAAGGTTATGCAGTTCTCATTTCAAATCTACATCAGGACATACAAAAGAAGTTCGCAAATTTAATCTCCAGGCCAAACAAAAAGCATAACATCCCGTTACGCGTTACATAACATCCCGCTACCGTTATAATCTGATCCTGAAATCTATTAGGAAATTCAGCAATAACGACAGTGGCACAAACGCTAGAGTCGGGCAACAAAGCTGGCTCCCGTCGCACATAATGTGTCTAATTGCCTACAAAACAAACACCATCTAACATCGCCCTTGCAAGCAGCCTCCGAGTCCATGATTTCCCCCCCCCCCTCAACTCGATATGATCCAGATGACAACACTGATATACGATTACTCAACACACCAAGGGCATTCTTTATCGTGATATTCCACGCTATACAATCCGTCTTAACGCTAGCGGTAACGAAGGGGGCAATCGAAACGTTGTCGAAGTTACTAGTGGCAACTGTCAAACTATCATGCTGTGTGTGCTGTGTAGGCTGTAGTGGGGAAGCCTATATGGGGTACAATCCAATTAGGGTCATACTTGTATCAACTTTATGCTCAATGCATTCATCCCTGCTCGTTAGTTTCTGACATGGTATCAGAGCAATAGGTCCGTATGACCGTTATTTTTCAGGCCCACCATTAGCTAGTGACCGACTGCGGTTACCGCACTACCCCACGCACTGCCCTGCGCTGCGCCGTCAGCGCGCGCCTTGCCCTGCCCTGCCTTGCGTCACGCTGTCCGTGCACGCCCTGCCCCGCGTCGCGCTGCCCCGCGCACGCCATGCCCTGCCCCGCGTCGCGCGCCCCTACAGCCCGTCGTGTCGCGCACCCCTGCTGCCCGTCGCGCCGTGCGCCCCTGCCGTCCGTCGTGTCGCGCCGCCCGTGCACCCCTGCTGCCCGTTGCGTCGCCCGTGCGGGCTGCCCCAGCCCATCGCGTCGCTCGTCCGCCCTGCCCCTGCCCGTCGCGTCGCCCGTGCGGGCTGCCCCAGCCTGTCGCGTCGCCCGTGCGGGCTGCCCCAGCCCATCGCGTCGCCCGTTCGCCCTGCCCCTGTCTGTCGCATCGCCCGTGCAGGCTGCCTCAGCCCGTCGCGTTGCCCGTCCGCCCTGCCTGCCCGTGCGCCGCCCCTGCCTGCTGCGCGCCGCCCCTGCCTGCCCCGCCTCGCGCCGCCCCGCGGACGCCACCCGCGCACTGCCCCTTGCAGCCCGCGCGACGCCCGTCTGCAGCCCACGCGCCGCTCTGCTGGCAGCGTGCTGCCCTCTGCAGCCCGCGCGCCGCCCTTGCAGCCCGCGCGCTGCCCCCCCTTGCAGCCCCACGCGCCGCCCTACTGGCCGCGTGCCGCCCCTGCTTGCCCGCGCGCCGCCCTTTGCAGCTCGCGCCCTGCCCTACCTGTCCGCGAGCCGCCCGTCTGCAGCCCGTGCGCCACCCTGGCAGCCTGCGCGCCACCCTGAGCTCGCGTGCCGTCCCTTGTAGCCCACACGCTGCCCCCTTGCAGCCCCGCGCGCCGTCCTGCCTTTCCGTGCGCCGCCTCTGTTCTGGCCGCGCATCGCCTTTACCAGACCGTACGCCGCCCCGACCTACCCTAGTGCTTGCTCGCCGCCCTGCCTTCCCACCGTGCTGCCCTACTGGTCGCGCGCCTCCTTGCTTGCTCGATATGACTTCTCTTCGAAATAGCGGTGGGAGTGGTGACAGCGGTGGTGTCAGCAGTGGGAGTGGTGGTGGTCGTAGTAGCAGTCGCTGTGGAGCTGTTCGGTGGGGAGTTCCTGGCGACGGCTAGATGCAACTGCAGCGGCGTCCGTGCGAGACCCTTTCGCCCCAGCAGCTACGTGAGTGGTACGCTAGTAGGAGCGGTGGCGGCGGCAGTAGTGGTAGTCGCTGTGCAGCTTTTCTATTGGGAGTTTCTGGCGGTGTCCTTGTGCAGCTGCAGCGGCGTCCGCGCGAGACCCTTACGCCCCAGCAGCTTCATGAGTGGTACGCTCAGCGTGGGGCGTCTCGGAGTAGTGCTCGGTGCCCGTACGTCATTCGCACAGGTGATGGGGCTGGTCAGACTTGCAGGACAGTTGGTCACACACAGTCCCGCTGCTTCTCCTGTCTAAGTGACACCTGGGGCGAAGAGTTTGGCGACGCGGCTGAGCTTACCTGCTGGCTAGAGCTGCTTAGGCAGGGTATGGATATCTTTGCTTTAGACTATGACGCTATCCTCACTGCCATGTATGCTTTTACTATTGGTACTGTGGGTGATAGAGCTACCTGTGTGTGCCACCCGACCCTTGTATAGAGGCTGCTGCTCTAGGTGCTGGTGAGTTTGCTCTCTCTGGTACTGCGCTTGCTGATGCCTTGCACACCTTCACGCTTGACTCAGGTGCTTCCCACTGCTTCTTTCGCGACAGCATCGCAGTCACACCAGTCGCAGCACCGGTTGCAGTCTCTCTGGCTGACCCTTCTGGAAGACTGGTTCTTGCACGTTCCTCCACTGTTCTTCCGTATCCAGCGGTTACGTCTGGCTCACTGTCAGGTCTTCACCTCCCCTCGTTCTCTACGAACTTGGTGAGTAACGCCGTCCTTTAGGATGCTTGGGTTGATATCTTTACCCCTGGAGGACAGCGTGTGGCGATCTGCATGTGTGCACGGATGGGTCGTCACTTGGCCACGTTCACCCGTCGGCCTGGGTCGAGCCTGTACGCACTGACTACTAAGCCTCCCCAGGTAGCTGCGTCTGCGTCCGCGTCAGGTCAGCTAGCAGCCCCCTGTTTGTGTCGCCTCCTGTCGCACCAGAATCTCCTCTGGCACCACCACCTTGATCACCCCTCCTTGCCACGCCTCTGTGGCATGCACTCCCGCCTCCTTGTCTCTGGTCTTCCCCGGTCCCTGCCTCCCCTTACACCCTCGCCTGCCCCTCCCTACATTCCCTGTGTCGTGGGGCGGCAGCCCGCCGCTCCCCAATCCTCCTCGTTTCCCCCGACGTCTGCTCCCTTGCAGACTCTCCACGTGGACGTGTGGGGCCCAGCCCGCGTCCAGGGACACGGCCGCGAGCGATACTTTCTGCTGGTTCTTGACGACTACTCGTGTTACACCACGGTCTTCCCCTTGCGCAGCAAGGGGGAGGTCCCTGATATCTTGATCCCTTGGATCCGCGCTACCTGTCTCCAGCTCCGCGAGCAGTTTGACACGGACCTTCCTGTCCTGCGTCTGCTCTCTGACAGAGGTGGTGAGTTTTCCTCCGACCTCTTGCGGGACTTCTGTCGTGGGGAGGGCATGCTCCAGTCGTTCACGCTTCCGACCTCTCCGCAGCATAATGGGTTTGCTGAGCGCCGCATTGGCTTAGTCATGGAGGTCGCTCGTACCTCCATGATCCATGCGGCTGCTCCCCATTTTCTGTGGCCGTTTGCGGTCCAGGTCACTGGTGACTCTTGTGCTGCGTCTGGGGGTGCTGAGCCTCCCGTTGCGGAGACTGAGCGTGCGGAGCCTGGGGGTGCTGAGCCTGCGGGTTTGGAGCCTGTGGGTGCTGCGTCTGAGCGTGCCGAGCTTGGGGGTGCTGAGCCTGCGGGCGTGGAGTCTGGGGGGGCTGAGTCTGGGGGTGCTGAGCCTAGGGGTCTTGCGTCTACACTACGGGAGCCTCTCTCACCACAGCAGCTGCGCGAGTGGTACGCTTGGCGCACCCGCCTTCGGAGTCGCGCTGCTGAGCTGGAGG